TCTGTTAAGATCAAATCAGGTGAAAGGCACCAATAGAACATTCTTTAAAGAGATCTGGACTAGTAGCTTATCTTAGGTAAACATACTGCCACACAGGAGAACAAACTACTTATATTTGTAAGGCCGGCAAGTGGACATATTACGAAAAAGACTGAAAAAAAAAAAATCTAGGAAAAACTACACAAATACCTTTGTCCTCGTGTACCCTCTAGTGGCTGTGCAAGGTTATGCTGGCCTCAGTAACTGAGCAGGCAATTTCCTCAAGGAGACAGAATCAGAGTGCTTACCTCTGCAACAGTTCTCTTAAACAGACAAGGATTCATGAAATGGGGGCTCTGAGCAGGCACAAGTATGGATTACTTGAAGCGTTTAAGTTTACAACCGATTCTGCCTTGTTAGCTTAATCCAATGAATCCAGGTTTTCCACCTAAAAAGCGGTAAAGCGTATCAAGCTATCCACACTGCAAGCATTCAGGGCACGCCACCTGCATTACTGTGCCATATATACAGGCTGTAGGCAAACTGCAGCAACATCAGTAAGTTGAAAGCTGAGTATTTGTTTCCACCCTTATATGTCTTCTGGAGAACTATCTGATACACAGGTTGCAGAGACCACATAAAAGCCGCTTATACAAGGAACAGCAACAGATGTCTCAAGACTACCGTACAAGCATGTTTAAAACTAGAAACAGGCTGGTTTTGCCTGTATGTGCCAAAGAAGTGGATTACGTCAGGGACCAAAACCGTCATCCAGCATAAGAACACTCTGCAAGCAAACAGCTAACATTTAATTTAGTACAGCGTAAACATAAAAGATTGTACAACAGACATTTAAAATAAACCCACAAAAAACACTCCCCACACCCTCCAATAAATAAAAGCAAAGGTCAGTACCCCAGTCAAGGTACCAAGTCCTCCCCGGGATGAAAAAAAATTAAAAAAAAAAAATCCTCGTTATGTTATGACTTAGCAAAAGGATATAAAGTGCATTCTATTTTGTTGATGGAACACGCAGCTTGCTGAAACAGGAAAATAGCAGCAGCCAAAAGGAGAATACATAGAGCAGGTTTTTAGCACCTCTTGACTATTTCTTCATTAACTGAAAGATGCAACAGCTAGTTGCATCATTCAACTAACGATGCTAAACAGTGCCAGAAGGAACACCTTGGCAACTGCTGGAGCGTTCAGCCTTCAGTAAATACACTACCAACAAGATGAAGGCACAGGGTGAAGTAATTAGATTACATACCAGCACCTACATATTAATTATGAGAAAAAAGACCCAAATACTGTCTTGAAATGACATGAGATTATTCACGTTCAAGATGAAGCTTTCATGAAGAATAGAACGCACATAACAGATGTATAACATGTCAGAAGTAAACCGAATCCCAGGCTACATGTACAATAAACACCCCTTTTAATAAGCATACAGAGTGACACAGCTGCCCAGTCCTCCAGACAGCTATGAAATAGTTTCCCTTCAGATATAGCAACTGAGAACTCAGCAGCAAGAGCTGGCTCTACCCTGGCAGGTGCAGATTTTTTTTCTGTACCCCTAACATACATCAGAAAAAAGCTACATGATCAGATAGCCTACATAGCTTTTCTTTTATGCTATTCATCTGCATCATTTTTATAAATGTACAGTCATAAGCAGACATGCAAAAACCCTTCTTTCTGTGTGTTTACAGGCTGAGTTCAAGAAAGTTAGTCCCTTTTCCATTTTTGAAGACAACACCTAAAGAGCTGCACTGCTTGTCATTCATCCCCATGCCTGAGTTTTGCAATAATGCAGTACCAGCTTGCCATCACTTCCAAAACACTGCAAGAAAAAAAACACAAGAAAACAGCAGCTGTTAAGATTATTCATGGGCTAGCATATACATGAAGCAAAACAAACAACACCCCCCCACACCAGATAACCGTGTCATGGAATACTGTTGCTGGTAACAGAGCTCTCCATCATAATGGGAGGCCTGACAACATTCTGCGTGTGAAGGAATGCATTTCCAGAGACACTATGAAGTCACTTGTCTTTAAACCATATTCATACAGATCTGCGAATATCATCTACGTTACCTTAAATGCAAGATATTACCAACATAGCTAGGGGCAGTAGCAGATTTCAAGTGCCAGAAGCGTACCGACAAATTCTGCTAAGCACATCTCGGAAAGATATTTAAGATGAAAGTCACCTCATAGAGCGTCCCGACTTCTTGGTCTGGCGATGGAGCAAAAGACTGGTTTACATAAATGAACTGCAAGAAAAGAAAACAGAAGATGGAGATCTCGCACAGATCTCATACAAGACACGTTCTGCAGCCAAAGGTGGGTAAATCTGTCCTCTGTTCACCGTTTATTTTATGATCTTTACAGTCCACACCAGAATTCCACGAATTGGCATTTTCACTTCAGTGTGGATGGGCAACATGCCTTCCAGAAGTGACCTGGGACTGGCCAACCAGACCAGGCCAAAGCAGGCATCCTGCAAGTTGGCTCATTAGTCTCCCATATAGCAGCACAAAGCAAACTCACTGCTTCAGTTCTTGCTCTTACTTCAAGTATCCAAACCATTCCCGCTATTCCAAATTTACTCAGTTAGAACAGCAATCACAGAAATTAGAATTATTATGTTCTTTTTAAAAGTCATCCTTCTTACTTCCTGCTCCAAACTTATATATGCATACAGCAGCTAGTCCATAAATGTCAAAGAGGGCCTTGGAGTGCGAGATGGCAATGCACAGTAGGGTATCATGTGCTATTTCTAAATAGCACATGATAGTCATAGAATTCCTAGGGCTTTGTTCCTGAAGCGCGGCCTTAAGCTTAAACCACAGCGGGAGACTCCGTGCTCCTCTATGTTTTCCCCGCTGAGAAAATGAGATGGCAGTTAATGAATTAAACTGTTGAGAAGATCCATGAACAGTAAATACCTGAACTACTACTCTTCTTTGGGAAAAAGAAACCCTTCATGATTTCCAGGTGCAAGAAAAGGGTAGTGAAACTGTTTACACCTATATCCTTAAATAAGAGCCTCCAGACCAAGAACAGAGCTATTTCACCTATACTTTAGCTACACACTTGACTATTTTAATGAGTCTAGCTATAACTTGGTATCTTAAATGAAAACCTTGAAGTGTATGTATGTTAAGGGTTTACTGCTAATCACAAAATCAGTACAATCATATTTCTTAATCTGTTCCAGCCCGTCCAGTGTTACCAGAGGGCCACTTGAGCTTCACACGAAGCAACCCATAAACAGTACCGGTAACGTGCTGCCGAACCGTGAACATTTCCAAGCTACCCATTTTAAAAGCGAAATGACTCCTATGACAGTAATCAAAACTGTTTGAGAAGGACGTTCTGAAGGAAGCAGGCGCCGCAATTCAGAGAGTCAACCCCAAACACGTCCAGTGTTACCAGAGGGCCACTTGAGCTTCACACGAAGCAACCCATAAACAGTACCGGTAACGTGCTGCCGAACCGTGAACATTTCCAAGCTACCCATTTTAAAAGCGAAATGACTCCTATGACAGTAATCAAAACTGTTTGAGAAGGACGTTCTGAAGGAAGCAGGCGCCGCAATTCAGAGAGTCAACCCCAAACACTTTAGGCTTTTTCCCCCCAAATACCCCTGCCTACCCGATTCCTGCAGCTCGTGAACCTTTCCCCGAACCCCACTGCCACGCACCGCGCGCGCA